TAACACAGACAGAAATCATAACAAAACTAACCTCACAGGTACCTACCTGACCCTAAACTAACCTCACAGGTACCTACCTGACCCTAAACTAACCTCACAGGTACCTACCTGACCCTAAACCTCACAGGTACCTACCTGACCCTAAACTAACCTCACAGGTACCTGTGTTATGATTTCTGTCTGTGTTAAGTGTTTTTATGTTTTGTTTCTGTCATGTTCATGTTTCCTTCCTCCTGTCTTGCCCTTGCTCCAGCCCCACCTACTCACACCTGATCCTCATGTGTCTCCCTCAGGTGTTTGTTGTTAGTAATTGTTGTCTGTGTATTTAAGCCCAGTCTTGTCACTGTGTCTTTGTCTGATCATTGTTGGTTTGTTTGTATACTCCAGTCTGATTCATGTTCTACCCTAGCTTTCTTGTCCCTGATTTTTGTTTAGTTCTCTGTTTTTTGCCACCACATTGGCTTTTTATTTAATAAATTTTTGTTAAAACTTTCTAGCCTGCCTGCCTGCCTGCATTTGGGTTCACCCTGCCTCACAGCTATAACAGCCTGGGCCTGAAGGCAACCTAGTGTACATAGTGTTGTATCGTTTTTGTATCATTACACAATTTTTTTCATATCAGCTCTCATCCCCTAAGCCATATTATCGTCCCTTCAGTCAAATGTAATGATGATTCTCCAGAACTATAATGTACTACAACTGATTATTTAATAAAAATGATTTATTTAACGCCCTAGAACATTTTATTCTCAGGCATTTAATTTTTTTTCCACTGAAATTAAACAAAGATAAAAATATTGCCTTGAAAGTGAATAAGTAATTTAAACAAATAAGCCAGTTAATGGCAGGTGCAGAAAACAGCAGCTTGCAAAATGCATTGTATTGTCCAAAATATGTCAGAATCTCACCCAAATGAGCAAATTCTGAGATTCCATGTTTTATACTGGATTCTAATTTGTGTTAATTCTGTGATTCCGTCTGCAATTTCTGCATTGTGGAAATCATAGGGCCCTACATATCTAAATCCTATTTTATTAATTTTTTTCACACCTGGAATTTTTTTTCCATGTAACCCCTGTAATATGCTCGCGCACCCCTGGTTGAGAATCCCAACTTTAGACAGTGTGAAGGGCTGAAGGAACTGTCCAAGGTCCTGTGCAGGTCTSAAGGAACTGTCCAATGTCCTGAAAGTGCTGGGATGTTTCAGGACTTTAGACAGTGTGCAGGGCTGAAGGAACTGTCCAAGGTCCTGAAAGTGCTTGGATGTTTCARAACTTTAAACAGTGTGAAGGGCTGAAGGAACTGTCCAAGGTACTGGGGAAACCTTTCCATGTACCCCCGGTAATATGCTCATGTACACCTTGTTGGGAATCACTGATTTAAGGAGACGGCTGGCCTGACTGCAAATCCGCAGGTGTTTACACAGTGATCCTGCTGTTATAATAAACTCTATTGGTCACCAGCTGAGGTAATTGGGCCATCTCCATGGTTACTCAATGATGCACAAGAAAACCATAACTCGTTATCTCGAGAAAATGGTCCTTGTTATTTCATAATAATGACATGTCATTATCACGATAAAACCATGGGAAAAATTAAATGCAGAATACGGCCTCTCTCGACTTCTGTACAAAAGCATACATTTATCTTTCACAAATAAACTTAAGCTTGTTATCAGTTCAACATTTTATTMATGTAAGAGGCCCAAAGACACTAAATTATGGAATATTTCACCCGTTGCATTTTAGTGGGATATATCAGCATTTGCCCGCGGTCACTATTTTCGGCATTGCCATATTAGTAAAATCATTGACAGATTTTTTAAAATCAGGATTAATAAATCATTCACAGGGGACAGTTTACTTCAGAACAGGTAGATTATTGGGGAGAAATTTGTCCTTTACAGAAAATGAAAAATAAAACACTTACATTTTTTCTATTTACATTAATATTATACATCATGTGCAATTAATGCAATTTGCAGATACAAAAATAAAAGTATTAGACTGTAAATTTTAAGATAATTATAACATCTGTAGTCCCAAATTATTTTAGAAATAAAAACCTGTGTATTAAACACAATCAGTTTGTGATTTTTGCTGAGGTTTGATGGAACATTGTAGGCTTGAAGGACACAAGTTAGAACTGGCACAAACAATTGTGATGAAGAAGGATGGATCCAGGGGCATGGATTCACTGAATGGGTCAGCATCACAGTTGATCTAGAAAAGGAGATAATATTAAACAGGATCAGTAAGAATGTCAACTCAACTCACTAACGTAGTCTGTGTTCACACACTGCAGAGCTCAATGCTCTGATTTTTTTGTTGGGATCTGATTTGTGTGTGGTTGTTCACATTATAGTTTAAATGTGGCCATTGTTAGACTCTAGAGAAACAGTCTATATCCTTGAAACAACTCAGCGTGAACATAGGGTAGGCCACACCTAAACCGCTTCTCTATGTGCCTGGAATACTCATCTTAACACTATAATTTCTTCAAATTTGATATTTTTCAGATATGTCTGCCTGCACTGATGTAGCATGCACCTTGCTAGTGAAAGAATGAACAAATTACCTGAGAAAAAGCTCTGAGAAACAGATGAGTGTGATGGATCCCTAAAAGGGATGTGTCAGCAGGGCGCTGGTTTAGACTACGATAATACGCCTGAGGAAAGACATTAAAGTTCAGATGAGCTCAATGTTGTTACTTCACAAAACAAAGTCTGAGGAAAGCTGTTTACCTGCAGTGCTACCTGCAGTGCAGAGTACTGCACCCACACTTCCTGCTGCTGCTCTGCAGACAGCGGTGGCGCTCCGCCTCTGCCTGCTTTTTCAGTTGCACTGAGGTAGTGAGCCCACACACATTCCCCCACAGCATGTACCATCTCATTGTGAGTGTAAACTGCAACAAAACAGGCATTGATTTCAGTCGTTAAGACAGTTTCCTTACCCTTATAAACTGGTCTGAAAGTTGAGTACCAAAACACGTTCAAACTACAGCAGTGTGATGTAGATGGGCTGCAAGAAGGTTGAAATGTATGAGGTAATTTTAGCTCTTTTCTCATGGGCTTGATTCAGCATTGGTCGATTCTGCCCGTGTCCAGCTTGGCACCTGCTCAGGTTCCAGGCAAGCCCTGCCAAGCTGATGAATTCATGTCAGCAGACTTCAGGCTATTGATTGGCCATGAAGCCACGTCACTGGATGACTCAGTTATTTGGAAAATCACAGAGAATCAAGTTGAATCGATTTAGGGCTCAGTGGGTCATGCTACACTCAGCAATCCAAAATTGGCTAATGTTAGCTGAGATTAATTCTGATGGAGAAAAGTTCACAAGACAGTGTTTTACAGGACATCTAAAGCCTACTTCAGTGATTTGAAGCAACACTGCATCCCTTGTTCAGACGATCTCATTCACTTTGAGTGAAATAAAACTTTAATATGGCTGGTGACTGACAGTTGTGTCAAGCTTAAAAGTTTCTAGTGTAAAGCATTTTTTGTTTGCTGTTTCGCTAACCTCCATGGATGTTTGTAAGTATGCTGTGTATTAAACATGTTTTTAATTTACAGCAGGTTTAACACTGGCCAGACAGGATAGCAACATACAACAGAAGGAGCATTTTTCAGTCCAGATTTATTTGTTTTTTCCACAAGTGCTGGGGATCATTGTCAGTAACATTAAATAGTTGTAGTCTGACAAGTGTTATTACTTTGAGCATTACTGTAGTCTTCTTTTAAGCTATTTTTAGCAAACACCACATGAGTTGCAATCACCATCTGACAAAGTGAAGTATACCAAAATATGAGTGCAAGTTTGATAGTTGAAATTTAATCTGAAGACAATAAAACCTTCACAAAAGTGTTTACAGTCGATAAATACCAACATAAACCAGCTGCACCACAGAGAAAACCCATTCTTTACACATTTTACTGTAAGAGCCAGGTCATTCTCCGCATAAAGCCTGTATTAATTATATACAGAMCTTGTAATTTGACTATGTTTTGGTGTGAATATCATAACTTGAATATTTCCTGCTCAAACTTTAAACACATCAAACACACAACGTGAACAAATGTGAACTCTTACTCTCAGGCACGAGCAGATGAAAGATATCTTTGGCGAGAAGGAAACCCACTGCACCATAATTCATGGCTCTGTTTACAAAAAGTTTTAAAGGGGTTGGTTTAATAGCATGAATAATATTAATTAAGTACTGCTTTTACTCACACACATCTTACTTTGGATAGGTGGAATGAAAAAAAGGAGGTGAGAACATTCCCATTGGAAAAAGTAGCTCTTTGTCCAGGAGAACTGGTGTGACAGACAAACTGAAAGAAATTGAAGAACAATACAAGTTTAAGACTTATTATTCAGTATTGAATAGCTTTGAGGCATGAAGGAAACACTTGCATATCAGCAGCCATGATTGGTGGAGTCAGAAGTTTATTGCGCCTCTTTTGCCACAGAGACAGCAGCTGAAGGTAGTTGGAGAAGAAGCTTCCTGTGCTTACTGTCACCTGGAATCAAACAAGCTCAAGTTTCTTACTTTAAACTGCAGCAATTAACCAGATTCCTTTAAGGAAATGGTATTGAGTTTGTAATTTGTTTTCAAACTTATCCACTAAGATTTAAGATTACTTGGACTATGAAAACAATATTTTAGTCTTTTGGTAAAAAGAGGTTGAACCAGGCAGGTCATATAAATCTGTTTTAATGTACCTGAGAAAAAAAAAGATCAAGCTCATCTTCACCAGAGATTTCCTTTGAAGTCCACAGTTTGGGGATTAAAGAGTGAACCTGAAAAAAAAAAGCCAAAAAAGAAATTTGTGTTTGGTAGATTATTTGTTGTAACAATGCTTCTTGGTAATAAATCTTATAGCAGCACCTGATTGGCAGCACCTGAGGGTACCAGAAGCTCAAAACAAGTGTCAATAACAACGGCAAAACAGCTGTTTGGCAAAGAAGATTTCATGTGTGCAACCCACATACTGTTACTATTACTCTACTGTTCATCCCACAAATGCATGTTCCTTACAAATGTGGCATAATTTCAAAGGGAACTTAACAGGCTTTCCAAGCGTATATGATTTATTGCCAAGRAGCATTGTTACAWCAAAGAAATAATCTTCCAAACACAAATTTTCATACTTTTTGTGCTAAGTTTATGCTTATTGATTTTTTTTCCACATTACCTTTTTCACAAGAAGCCCAAAAGACTTCTGATCTGACCACTTGGGCTCATTTAATTTGGATTTGAAGGAGAAAAGGACATTTTCAATAACCTCATCTACCTGTTAGGGGGGAAAAAAGATGAAAATTCTGAATCTCCCATCAATTTGTTAAGCATCAGGGCATCTCCTCACCTCTCTATGTGCTGTTGTTTTACTGAGAATGTGACTTAGAACTGAGTCGAAACCTCTTTCGGTTTCCAACACGCATAGTTTCCATCGAGGGACTTCCTGTTTAAAACATAAAGTCCCAATAATGAAAAAGGCACTCCCATCAATTCAATTCACGGTTCCAGTTTCATGATCAATCTCACCTCCTCAACTTGACCTAAAGCCAGGGAAAAATTCCTGGCAGTTTGAGAAAACCGGGAGTCCATGGCAGGCATCAATGTGTGTAGAAGATTGAAGATCATGAATGTGTGAAGAGGATCGCTAAGTGGAGCAAAAACGACAAAAAGAAAGAAAAAATAAATAAATGCTGAAATACCATCATCTTCATGTTTTAATGGCTTGAGGGTACCTGTTTTTCAGGTCTTGTTTGTTCAACCATTTGTTTACGGTGCGGGACATCTGAATGATGTAAGGTAGGTTATGGAGGAGGATGTGATTGTCTTCGTGGAGATGAAGAGGGTGGAAGGCAGTCTTCAGAGAATCTAACCAGTTTATGGCAGGGGCTTGTTTCTGTGCAGCAAAAGTCATGTTATTAGAAAACACGTAGGCTCCATATTCTGATTAGAAATGCTTTTTTTTTTTGTAGCTGATTCCAACTTTTGTAAAGCTCTGATCTGTTAATTTCAGATTTGATTGATTTTTAATGAATCATTAAAATGTCACAATAGAAGTTAAAATAAAAATGTGACTTACAATAAATTAGTTGTTGATAAAAAATGGTGTGGGATAAATAAGAAATAAATAAGGATTAACATTTATTGCTTTCCTCACTAACAAAAACAGTGAAAACAGCAGTTTTTCATAGATTTGTTGTTTGGGTTTCATTGGTGTGTGCACATAATGATTACAAAATTCATGCAGCTTCCTTATGCTTTATATCAGGGGGCCAAAACTCAAAACTTGGTCGAAGCTGAGGACAAATTTCTGTCAATATTTATTGAAAAATGTTATAAAACATATTATTCCTATAGAAATACAAAATGCCTTTTCCTAATTATGTTTTGTGTACCATTTAGTACATGCATAACCTAACAAAGTCTCATCATTATTATTAATGTCTTAGGTATTATGCTCTATTAACAACTGTTTCATTCATGATATCCGAGAGATACAATTGATCACAATGAAAACCACTAAAAATCCAAATTTTTGATGTTAAAATATGAAGAGAAAACCAAAAGATAAAGTTGATCATTTGTTGCTCTTTCTACACCAAAATAAAGATTACTGAAAATTTCAAACGTAATTTTCTTGGCTTAAAAGTTGGCCATCTATCATAAGAAAAATGTGACAAAAAGAGAAAACTGTTTCACATTTAAAGTGTTGCCTTTGTGGCTGGATAAAATTGTAATGAGGGTCACATTTGGCCAACGGGCCTTGGATTTATCACATGCTTTACAACGTCTGATTGAAACCAATAATGTTAGATTTCACTGGTACCTGCAGTTCTTTTATGGTCATGCGCTGATGGAGCTGTCCTCTTGACTGGCGGTAGTGCAGAGGCGAAGCTGCTACAGCGAGTTCAGAGGACAAAGAGATAAACAGGCCAACATGGTTCATAATTTCGCTCTGCGGCGAGCCCAGAAGAGCCAGGTAATTCTGGCACGATGCCAAGAAGGGACGTAAAGCCTGCAAACAAAAACACACTCTTATTTTAGAAAAGTTGGACATTCGTAAACACATCTGCAACGTGAACCTCTAAAGTGTTCTCCAACCTGAGGTTTAGCTCTAGACGTTTGTGATTTGTTGTTCCATACAATCGGGATCAACAGCTCCGGCTGATCAATCTGTAGAGAGGATTCTTGAGTTAAAAGAAGAGCACAAACCTCAGTCTGCTCCCATGTTAGTGTATATTGGTCTCACAACTTGTCCTAATTAGTACAAGCCTGTATGTATCTTTTAGTCCTCCCGCTGGCGGTTTCATTTGGGTCCTTGCCCACGTAGAGACTGAAGAATGGGAAAGTGTTGTAGTCTTTCATTAACAAACCCAGTGTGGTGTTGAAATCTGTCTTATTCCACTGCCCTGATACAGCCCAGCCTCCCAACTGCAAACATAAAAATAAAAAACTAGATTGAGGTCCACAGTTATATTGATTTGATTTTGATTTTTTTCATTTATTCGTTTAATTTAAAACAAAAAAGTTTACATTACAGAAAATTCAAAACTTATTTCACAAAATAAAATGAAAGGCAGCAGAACGAAGAAAAAATCTTTATATATATATATATA